TTGTCAGCGTAATTAGGTTAATCTTAAGAGATAGAATGACAAAAGTAGCGTTGTTAGACCTGTAGATGTTTATTTTTCTTTTATATTTGGATGTGACTGTGAAAAAACTGAGTTTCCGGCGGGTCTCTGACAATTTTACTGAGGCTTCAAAAGAGATCGCTTCATTTGGTGCACAGCCATCCATGCTTCAGATTTATAGAAGGGTCAAATTTGCTGTGGGCTATTGTGATAGGCGACAAAATAGGTATAATCAAAATGCTATTATGCGAGCATCATATCTCATCAATAGAAGAAGCTGTTGAAAATGAATGTTTCCACGGAGCATCAATGCAATAAAAAAACATCGAAGGATTTTTTAAGAAACAATAAATTAAGTATTATTTTCTTAACCATTCTGTTTTTTGAGGAGGAATATTAAACTATTTACTTCGCTATAAAATTGTAGGTTCTTAAAGAGGGTGGTAAACTTTGAGGTATTATACAAATCGTGAAAAAATAATGAACTGGTGGTGTAAATCAGTTGACAATCCGTTTAGTTTAAAGACATTGTGTTCCTGTTTCTGCTACACGACTACTGAAATTGAGCGATTTAGGTAATTACCTATATCAGGATCAGTTTATATAAGTTTTTATCGACGATAAACGAAAAGCGAGTACAGTTAGAAACTAGAAACGAGTTGACGATCGGCGAGTGTGTAGTTCCGATAGTTGTATCGCTGGACTATAATCGAGTGTGCGAGTGCGACGGGCGATTATAACGCCACTTTAGTCGCGAATACAATACTAAGCAAAAATGCACAAGCGCGCTATTGGAGACAATCGAACTTTGATAACTCTTGTCGCTCAGCGACAAATTAGTGGAGAGAGTTCTCGCCGGTGAATAGTCAACTATTAATATATGCATCTCTTTTGTTTACACTGTTACAATCTGTTGTACGTTTAGAGCGAGAAAATAGCCGATAGTTAGTTATTTATCACCGGCAGACAACAGCCTTAAATGAGTCATATGAAGCTTGTTTGCTACATTTCCATACAAAAAGTTAATAATTGACTTGATTAACGTGTACAGACGTGTGGACGTTCTTTTTTATTTTTTTTGTGTCACAGATATGTAAAATGTCATTTCAACACGGTGATTCTGATTGTTTAGCTGCTTTACGCTCTTTCCGTGTAAAATTAGCACTAACGATTTAAGTAGGCAATAGTCACACAATTTTCGAACTCAAAGGCAACAAATTATTTGTCATATCTTCTTATAGACTGTTTTAGGTAAGTACGAACCTGTTCTTATATAATATGCCTCGTGTCGGAGACTGTCTGTCGATATTTGTTTTCCAAGGACCATTGGGTATATTGTATCATGTGAACAATGAATATGAATTAATAAAAAAAACATTGCTAAAAAAAATCGACACAGCTTTTGGAGTTCGCAGGAATTTCGGGCATGGTGCTGTCCAATGTATTTCTTAATATAACACTAATTGATAAAACTACCGAAGACCTTCGTGGATAGAGTGGAATGTACGGCGGTTTTCAAGGTGTCGCCTTAACGATATTTAATACCGTTGTGTCGCCTATTCAGAAGTCCCGGGTTCAAATCCCGTCGGGGAAAATGTTTGTATGATGACTAGAGCATTTGTACCTAAGTCTACATGACTTATTATGTTTTCTAAATACATGTATCCAGTGCCGTCTTTGACCTATTGGAGGCCCTGGGCATATTAGGATAATGGGGCCCCCGTTTGGTAATTTAGGAACTAGCCCCTATCGATCGCGGGGCCCTGGGCATTTGCCCAAAGTGCCCACTGGGAAAGAGGGGTCTGCATGTATCTCTATATGTATTCTATCCGTTACCCTAGTATCTTACAACACCAGCCTTACAGTGCTTACTTTAAGGCTAGGCTAATTGGTGTGAGTGTAAAATATTTGTAAGAAGAAATATACTAAATTCGACAACAGCATCTCCCTTTAATTGGATATAGTCTTTAGAGCTAGATGAGGAAAAAATGCAGTCAAATATAGTTTAAGGTCTTGTATGAGATATCATGCCAGAGTCAGACCCAAAGTTTTAATTGTTGCAAGGTTATGTACCTAAATCACAGTCGAAACCTTGTGCAATAAAGTGTATCTTTTTATGTAACAAAGGATCGACGTTTAGCATTAATCCTTAATAAAAGACTTTAATTGCAGGAAAATATTAAAGACACAAGGTAGGCAGGTATCTGTTGCTTGAGATGATTGAATAAAATCAAACAACGAAAACTTTACTGCAAAACTCCGCTGGGACTGCATTTATCATAATATTTTCAATCGACGAAAAAAAGTGGTTTTCAAGTCAACGCGTCCATATATTTCTTTATTCACGCATAACTATTTACAGAGTAGTCCGATTTTGATAATTCTTTTTTTTTATTGGAAAGGGTATACTCTGCAATTGGTCCCATATAAATTTGAAAAAAAATACAACGCTAAGAGTTGAAAAAAAGGGGATGATTGATTGTTCACTCACTGATTGTAATGTATGGACCAGGAATAACTTTTTCCAGTGCAGTCCGATTTTGATGATACTTTTTTTATTGGATAATACCTCGAAGTTTGTTCCAAATAAATTTGAAAAAAGAAATCCTACCCAGGGGGTGAGAAAAAAGGGGTGATAGTTCACTCACAGATTTTGATGCTGAGATGTATATCACAAAAATTATAAACACAGAAATAAAAAATAGAAACTTTTCAACATAAAAATTAAATCGCCAAAAAAGCAAAAAATTATAAACCTTTTTTTATCTTTAGCCAATTATTATTTTTTATGTTCAAAAGTGTTTTTGTAATCAATGAACAAAACACGGAAATAGCTGAATCTTCTACAAAGTAAAGAACTGTAATCCTTTTTTCAAGAACTTGAGAATTCTTAATTAAAATACCTAACGATCAAAGGTTTTTGGGCCCCCACATATCTAGTAATTTATTTATTTTTTATTATATATTTTTTATACTAGTTTCCACCCGCGAGTTCGTCCGCATTAACTTTAGTTTTTTGCGAATCCAAAGAAACCTGAGATTTTCCGGGATTCAAATCTTTCCTATGTAAAGTAAAGTATTTCACCTTCCCTAGAGGAAATAAACTATCAAATTAATAGAAAACCAAACAAGTCAGCTACGGGCCCTGAAGGTATTCCCTATATAGTCTACAAAACACGTCCATCGGTAAGTAAATATATATTTAAAACATTCAGTAAAATTTGGTCAAAAAAGCAAATATCAATACCAATATTGGCAAAGCAATTTTTGACTTCAATTCAAAAAAGACGAAGTAACTGATCCAAAAGATACTAGACCGATAGCACTAACCAATACAATTCCCAAAATTTTCTTTAGCATACTACAAACAAAAACCGGCCGAGGGCGTGTCGTGCCACGCGCAGTGTAGGGTTCGTAGTTGCCTGTAGTTACCACAATTTATTTGAGCAGGAGTCTTCATTTTCTATATTGGAAATTAGAAAAACCAATTAATATCAATCTATGTATCTCAATTATAATACCTAAATTAAAGTCAAACTCGAAATCAATTTCCTTTATTTTTTTTTAATACGAATGATAACCGCCAATTTTTTTTGTTTCCTCCCAGGCGAGGGAACGGTTGTGAAATCCTTATGGATTGATATACATAATTATTATCTCAATATCACAAAATGACAGCTAATAGTCTAGTGCTAATAGTCTCCAAGCAAAACCGGGGACGGACAGGCGGACATGACGATACTATGAGGGTTCCTTGTCACGACTACGGAACCCTAAAAATTACAAAATTTATGATTATCAATAGACATTTCAAACCCAATCATCAAAAAGAGTTCTTGTCCGGTATTTCTAGCTACCTGGAACACAACAAATTACTAGCGGAAAGTTTAAAAGCTGCCAGAATAACATGAGAGGCAAATAACCGTCGGATGGATAGGCCTTGAAAACGCATTTGGTTCGGTACAACATGAACTTATGATCTTCGCCCTGAAGTGGCATAACTTTCCTACTGTGGTCATCGACATAATCACATCATGTTACTCACAACTACAACTTGCCATAGAAGCAAACAAGGAACACACAAAAACATTAATAATCATTATCATTAGACGTAACTAAAACTAGATTTAGCTCACACAATAATGTCAAATTGACATTAACGTTTTCACATTTTTCTATGGGTTAAATTCAGTTTTAGTTGTGCCAAAATTAAGCTTTAATGCAACTGGCCCTTAACTTCTTACTATTATAGAGATATATTTTGTGTATTATTAAATTGTACTTGAAGACCTGAATTTCAGCCCAAAAGGTGTCTTTCACAATTTATCTAAGCGCGCTTCAAATGCTAAATATATTAGTTACTTTTCTAATGTTCCCTTACAAATATACTTCTGGAGATACTAAAACACCACAGGTTATTGGTCACCCTTCTCGTGATCGGCTTTTGCAAAAAAAAAACATTAAGTTTTTACGATCGTTAACCGAATGCGCTAGCGCACATCGACCTCCAGTACTTATGCGTTATTGATGTTTCCTTTTTATCTTATAGATTTTGTACTCTATCTAGTACTCATAAACGCAGAGTCAGTAAACGTTAAATTATTTCCAAAACATATTAGCCAAACAGTTATTTCAAACGTGTTTACATAAGAAAAAGGTACAATAAAAAGGTGCTGATAAAAATATAAAGAAATTCCTTATCAATTGTTGTAATATTGATCAATACTTTCGTCGGCAATGTACGGTGTCAACGATACGATTGACTGACCTTTGAATAAATGTATTGTAACGTTGTTCATCTCGTATGTAGCTTGATTATTATTTCGAAAATAGGAATTCAAATTCCAAAGACGGTGAGATGTATAGGATGCTAAAACTCCAGTGGAGAGATGGGCAGCCACAGGCCACATGCAGTGTCTGTCAACGCCGCGACCAGCTATATAAAGGCACCGGCATTATCAACACAGCCAATTTAAAGACGGCAGTCGCGGCGACCGCACATTTCTATCTCGAATTTGGAATTTAAATACTTTTTTTTTAATCTTGTGTGAGTGTTTGAAAAACTTTTAAGAAAACCTTTTGTCACAGGACCTTAATTTCAAGTGAGTATACGAATCACCAAAGTGAATCATCATTTTCTCTTTTTAAAATAAGTGCAGCTTTTTATCATATTAGATTCTATAAAGTAAAATGTTTAGTTTTTAGTACAAAATAAATATATTAAACAATTCTTCAAAACAAAATTAAGTAAATTATTTTTCTTAAAATAAATATTCTACTTTATCAAAATTTGTGAAAAGTTGAGAAAACACAAAATCATGTAATCAAGATTTTTTTGAATAGAATATTATGATTAAATTCGCAAAAAATGTGAAAATTTCAACGTTTTATGTTTCTCACAATTCCATGTAATCTGACGGTTGAATACGGCCGGACACCGGCAATTTTCACTTACCCATGCATCGACATATAGCACATTATGTTTACAAATAAAACCATGAACACGAGTCGAGTGTATCAATAAAAATGAACATTCTGTGATGCCAATGAGACTATGAAAATACAGTAGGTCGTAGAGATAGAAAATAAAAATTGCTTAAATAAATAAAATTATTTATAATATTCGATAAATTCAAATAGTCAAATTGATGTAATCTTTGTGCTCTAAGTTCCTTATATAACAAAAAAAAAGTGTTTTGGAACTGCGAAAGCTTATAAAAAAAAAGAACATACTTAAATAAAATTAGACGGAGGTTTAGAATTGTCGCTGATGCTGTTTAAAAGTGGATATAAAATTAAATAGGAAGGATCCTAAATATAGTCATCAAAAAAGTCTAAGCAGCATTTGTGCAATCTCAAAATTTTGAACGATTTTTACAATTGTAATTATATTTATACCATACTATTATAAACACAATCGAAAAGTTTATATTTATAAAATAGCCAATTATGTTCCGAGAACAATAAATATTAGAAACCAATCTACATTGTTAAGAAAAAAATTTAATATGACTTAACAGAACGAATACAATTTCTGTAAATATTGCATGTTGCTTAGACTTTTTTGACGTGACTTTGACTTAGCTATTTTGTATTCATGGCTAAATGATCACTATCAAAATGTTGTTACCTAAATGTAGTATAAAACAAAATGTTACCTATTAACGTGCAACATATAAGGTAATATTACTATTTAAGACATTAATAGGCTGATAATAATAACCTCAAAGGATTCTGCATAAAGAAGAAAAATATTAAAACATCATCTTTCTTTAAAATCCTAGAGAAAATCTCGTGATCGAAAAACACATAACAGCATCTATACCTCTCTAAAACTAGCAAAGTCACACATACAACTTACGCGCTTAAGAGCTTACAATTATTTATTACTTTACATAGACAATCAAAAATTTTCAAGAAAATTTCATTGAAGTATCCGAACGTTTAATAAAAGTCAAAATTAATTAAAAATTATACTCTTGAGAACGGAGCTTTGTAAAGGATCTGAGTTGTAGAGACATGTATAAAAGTATTAAAAACATATTTCAACTGGTTGAAACAGTGTTTTATTTAACTCTTACAATTGTTTCGTTAACATATGCCATAGGTTTAACTATTGTCATATTGTCTGCATTATTACAAAGATGCAAGAGACTTTAAAACAACGACTTCTCCATTCGGTTCCTAACAATTCGCAAATTATTTGGCGTGTCCAGTGCGCAGCGCCGCGACCAATCAACGGAAAATCGATTTTCGATCGATATGCCACAACACTGGGTGATCGAACGCGCAAAACCGAGATGACGGCAACACATTACACTAATATCATTGTAAAAAATATCAATATTTCATATTTAAGAAAGTCAAGGTCAACATAAATTAAAATCAAAATGAATCTCGTTAAAGAAGTGTTTTATAGAATTATTGGTGTGCGTGAAACATGAAAAATAAATTCCGTCCGTGCCGTCTGAAATCTGAACAGAGTGGATTTTTTTCTAGTAACCTTTTTTATTAAATTTAAACATCTAGCATCTAAATGCTTAAAACAAATACCTATTTAAGTAATAAGCAATTTTATCTAAACTTTTTTCTTAATAGGTAAATGTGTTGTTACACTTAACCAATGCATCGAAGTAATCCAAACCCAATTTCATTTTTCCAACAATAAACCTAAGTGTTGTTGAAATTTTATCATTAGCTGTTTAATTATGTTTGCTATTTCATTAGCATTGTCCTAATCTTGAGATTTTGAGGAAGATCGATTTTTAAGTATTACTTATAGCACGATAAGATTTTTTCACATAACAATATAGATAGTGGCACGCTTTATCTCTCTTTAGGTGGTTAAGTATTTGAAGTACATTCGAAATAGGATAGATACAATGGAAATATGTTCAACATGAATATCGTTCACGTTTTTCACTCAGAAATTGATCGAAGCTCAGAAAGCTAATTAAAAATTGTTAAGCCAAGATAAGAGATGTACCTAAAGTCTCTTGCTTATATTTTTACGACGAACATTTTTGATGTTTTCTTTTTTGTCTCTTTTCCATCCATTTTCAATTACCTAAATTCCATAATCCATATTGTGGAATATAATAAATTAATTTTATTATCATGACATCAAATATTTTCCGAAACATCTAGAAATTTATTAATTATTTAATTAGCATAGAAAAATAGAAAGGAATCTTGTCTTATTCTTATTTTTATTTTTAAGTTAAACGCCTAAGTTAACACTGTCGTTTTGCCGCTGCACCCATTTTTATGAATTTAGTATAGATAGAGGGTATGTTGAAAAAGGACAAAGGCTACCTTAGTGTTGTGGAGAAAATATTGTTTGTTACTGAATCAGACAAAAGCCGCAGAACTAATTTACACGAGTCACAAATATAGTTAACTTATATTACTTTCCTTAATTGAGACAAAATATAATTCTTTTTATCCTGAAAATTATTAGTTTCTTGTGGGATTGTTAAAATACGTACTATATAAATCCGATACAATATGTTCTTACAGTCGTAAATTATTCGTAAAAATATCTATGAATAAACAAACTGTATAAGCGTTGTACGTCTGCGTCAGCGCAGCGTCGAAACTTAGCTGCGTGAGAACTTTTTTTTTGGTATCACAATGCATAAAACCTATTTTTAGACAATACTTAGATGAGCATATATAAAATAATTATGGTAATAAAAAGTTTGCCTTAAATACGATTCCTTTGAAAGAATATTCGCATATTATTTTCAATGAGCTTACAGGAGTTTTTTATCATTTTAAAAACTAACAATTACTTACCACTAACATAACTTTGGCATTGAACGTTAAAGCTTCGCTGCTTAATTATATTATGTAAAGAAATAGAAAAGAGAAGACTGATTAATTTGGAAAAATACCTAAGAAGGAAAATATAAAATAAGTGTTTTTTACACTTTTTTATAATTGTTATATGAGGGAAATGCCTTGCAGTAGTTAAACTACAAAAAATAAGTTGCATTAATGAAGTAAATATTAGCAAAAAAATACACACAGACCAGGCATCAGACGGGATTCGAACCCGTACCTACTCGAATTTTGTCTTGTAAAATTTACTTTTTATCTATAAATCTAGATAGTTCAAAGCCTTAAAATTAAAAAACATGTAAAGTGCGAGTCGGACTCGGGCACCAAGAGTTTATGTGATTTGCGAATTTAGTCTCGAATTTTGATGCTTTTGCGAACGACAAAATAAGCGGTGTAATATAAGCATAATTACCAGATTTTTTCATTATGCCTAAAGATTGCACTCTGAGTACCTATTTGATATCAATTTCGTCCTCCAAACGTCCACCATGCATTGCTGAAAAAAGAAAGGTTCTTGACATACGGACCAACGGACAGACATGCAGATGAAAGGACAGAAAACAAATTGAATATTTAAGGGTTCTTGAAGTTTTTCTTTTGTGGTACGGAATCCTAAAAATCATGTAACGATATCCAACGATGAAACACGGACATACGAGCAGACGAACGAACGGAAAAGAAATCCTTTAAGGGTTCTTGAGGTTTTTCTTTTGACGCTAGGAATCCTAAAAAACATGGAACAATAGCCAACGAGGTCATCCATCATATTTATTGACAGCGATACCATCAGTCGCAGTCCCATAAATCGATTGTGACGCCATCACCAGTTCACCACCGACGCTATTCCCGTCGTATATGTATGATTTGTGACGCATGCGCAAAATAATTATAAGCGCGGGTACGTTTCCGCGCACGCGACAATGAATTTTAATGCAATTGATTATCCGTTTTGATGGGAACGAGGATTATTATTATGTGCAAATGGCACATCGGCGTTAAAGTCAAGCAGGTAGATGATTGTTTAAGTATCCGAAAGTCAAGTTTTAGAATTAACTAGGTATTAAACTATCATTTTCAAAATACTTTTAAGATTCTGCGACACAATTTTTTCCATATACTTTAGGTACTTAAAAAAAACAAGTCTAGCTATAAGTTATCATGCCTTTTAGAAAAAAATAGACTCGGTACGGGTTTCAGACGGAATTTGAACATCTAGCAGTTAAATGCTTAAAAAAGAAAATATGATAAAAATATGATAAGTAAAATGCACACTAAACTTTTAAAATATCCATCGATGCTTTATTAAAGCTGGTATTCTAAAATTGTGTGCATATTTAAATGTAGGTATAAACCTAATAATGACCAAGAGCTAAATGACATCTAAACATAGCTCATGAATCATATTGATTACTCACAATTAATTAGTAAAAAAATAAACCTTTTGCTTAGTAGTGGATCACAAAAGACAACCTTATCAGTACCTATCGTTAAACAAAAAGGTGGGCGGTAAAAACCAAAGCTCAATAAGGAACGCTATTCAAGGCGACTTGCCGCGTCAATTATCTAACATAATGATAAAGATTTCCACGGATCATGGATCTTAAGTCACAACACAACAGACTGAAGACGTTCGTGTAATTATTTCGGAACGGACAAGGCCACTGGCAACATGCCGGAAAATATAACTTATTCTTTGTTGCTGCCTGTTAAACATTTTTATAGGTTTCACAGAGTTTCATGAATTGCTTGATCTGACTACCTACTTATCGATCTTCAATCAATCTTGTCTGTTCTTTAAAAATAAGTGGAACGGTTAAATTGAAACAGGGCTGGCTTAACACCAAGAGGGAAGACATCGATTGCTAATTATTATTGTTGTTCAAAAAGCGTTTTACGTAAGCACAGAAATTTAGATACTTTGTTACAAGTAGCAATCAAACCAAATTCATAAATAAATGAATTCTTTATACGAATGACTTGTTACATCTTCTTTAATCCTTACAAAGAAAATTTTCAAGTTTTAAAAATATACAACTTAAAACTTAATATCAATAGGGGAGAGTACACGGTATCTCCACAAGTAATAACCGTTCACGAGCATGATGATCAAAAATCGCGGCTCTCTACCAAATTTCAAGAGGTCCCTAGACAGTGCGAATCTAGGTAATCATGAAACTTCCTCAGGTCTTAAAGAGAGCTTAACATTATTACACTGAAATATTATCTGACGTGTGTGTGTTAGAACTATTTATTTACTAAATATATTTGTTTCTTATGTTTTCACGCACACCAGTCACAATTCGTTTTCTTTATTACTTTTTTATTAATAATAAAGAAAACGTATTTTAAACCCGTCCAAGCGTGTTTCATTTATTTCTTTATTGCCAATAAAGTTAAAATACAAGTGATTATATTAATTTCAATTAATATAAACAATTAAGCTCAGATGCATCTGGTGGTAAGAAATAGATAGTTGCACTCGTAAATATTTTTCATATCAGTTATATAAGATAGCCGAATGAATCTAAAGGTTTTGTTGACATTTCACACTTGCTTAAGCCGGCCAGTGCCGTTACACAAACTGGCGAGCTTCCGCTGGCATTGACCGATGCTCCGTTCGAAAGGCTAACTTGCATCTCTGCGGTCGGCCGCTATCAGATTAATCTTCCTACTTACTTATGCGAGACCGAGTAATCGCCTGGTAATGTTTTATTTTGAACACCTTTTACCTGTTCATTACTAGACACAACTTAAACTAAACCCGATTGTAAAATGCGGCTGAAACTTTACTCAACATATTCGGAATTTATATAAAATGTGCAACCACCATTATTTTAATATATTATTTAACTCGAAAACTATTAGCTGGTAATTTCGCAAGCGTTGAAACAAGCCGCACAGCAATGATTTCTCGACACACTCCCATTTTAACGCGTAACAAACTGTAAAACAAAATCGATTTATAACGCATTCTCATAACGAATAAGTAACTGATTTCATATTGGAGCGATTTCTTAATGCATGCAGCGCCGTCATTGCTATTATGTATGTGCCAGCGGTCTGCCTACACTTATCTGTCATCCTGGACAGTTTGATTTATTCGGATGGAGTGAGATGTTATTGAATGAAATCGCACAATAGGCCCGAATCCACGGTCCCAATACATCCAATAGTCGACAATGAACTGTGGGTCGCTGTTACGAAATCGGCCTACAACACGAATAACGGGTTTCGACACAACTACAAGCACTCCTCGGAGCTTTGAGCTGACAAACTCGTAATAACCTAACCACCCATACTTACTCTGCAATTCGTAACATTTAACAAAACGCGTATAAATCATACTAAAATATCAATCACTGTGAGCTTTATCTAACAGAATCGTAAAGTCTTCCTGTAAATCTCAAATGGACAGGGCAGTCGTCTCACTAACAAATATAAAATTAAGGCCGCGTTGTTTCATCCATCGTTGAATTTGACTATAGTTAATGTCACGTCAGATACAGTAAATGTGTAAATTGTTGACAAATGGTTATTTATTCTCTAGTACTTTATCTGGAGTCATATCAATGGAAAAAACAACGCGTCTTTAAAATAAGAAGCCGAATAAGTAGACTTCATCATCATCATCATCAACCCATGCTCGTCCACTGCTGAACATAGGTCTCCCCTAATGTACGCCACTGCTCCCGATTTTCTGCCACTCTCATCCAGCCCCCTCTAGCCAGCCTACGAATGTCATCATCCTATCTTGACTTAAAGCACCTAAACGTTTACCTCAATTAATTATTTTTTAAGCTGACAAAAATATAGAAAGCATACAAAGTAAAGCACTTGACATTTTCAGGTCATTTTTTTATTGAGAAAGCGTAACGCGATCTCTATAAAAACATGTCTAGGTCACAAAATCTAGATGGCCACGAGACAAAAAAGAGAACAGTTTGTCTTTTAAAAAGATGTCACAAAGAATTCGTATGGTTCAAAAAATAAATAGCTGCTAATAAATTGTTTTAAGCTTATTCGAACATTGATGCAATAACATGTAAATTTAAAGTCTATTTCATTGAGAGAATTTCCCAAGAATCGATGCATTCTGACGGAGAAAGCAAAACCAGTTTCTGGATTTTGAAATCTGAATATGACGCCCTCTGATGACATTTGGGAGTCTGGAAGGAGCGGTCCGAAGGTCCAAATGCACGCACGAATAAAATTTACACAAAATATAAACAAGAATGTGTCATCTATACATAATGAGCTTTTACAACTTAGAACATAGTAAGGTTATCAATGCAATTTAATAGATGAATAAATACGCTTTAGTAATATAATAAAGAGGGGTAGGTCATGGCGGCTTTTCCGCTCGAATTGGAGCGCCCGTCTGGGGAAGTAGCTCCCACCTTACAAAAGACCACAGCAAAATAACACTACCATTCGGTGGTGTTGTGTTTTTGTCGGTCACTAAGGTACCAGGGCTTCACGGGGTAGGAGATCGTGGCAGGGCAAGCTATGGAGTGTGTGATAGTTTTGGTATCACAAGCGTCTATGAGCCGCCAGAGTGATGGTAAGCGTCGCCGCCATATGCTTGTATGCTTGTTTGCTACACTTTTAACATAAAAATAAGAATAATAAACTATTCAAAATATTGTAATGCCATAGTAAGTATTAAATTTTGCTTATCGTACACACATAAAAATTACCTACTTTGAGACATTGTTAAAGAATAATTTGAAATCTGTATGGATATGAAAAACAACAAAATAATAACTAAAACGTTTTTATTTGATTGTTTACTTTGAATTGAATGGAATTTTATTGCTATTTTTAGAATAACGTAAATAATAAAGTGTTATGACGAACGAATTTTATAGAAGATGATCGTGATCAAAACAGTATCTTATTGTAAATTCTAATATTTCAAACCATAACAATATTTACTGCAGTTTTAATTCGTATTTTGCAACAAAAAGTTATATGTACCTACAAACTTTACTTCATTTTTAGGGTTCTCTATCAAATACTGCAATTGGAACCCTATTACTTAGCGTCAGTTGTCTGTCCGTCTGTGATCAGGATGTATTTCAAAATGTTTTTTTAATGGTATACAGTTCTAACAGTGCTATAAAAGCAAACAACGTAAACAAAATAAAGTTAGAAAATACATGCTGACATAGTCGCCCAGCTACTAAAGCCTTTAAATAAAAACTAAAAAAGAAAAATCTTGCAAAATTTTATTCACCCATTTTATCGACGTGATTGATATACATATTTCCACAAAATTACAGCTCTCTAGTGCTAATAGTCTCCAAGCAAAACCAGGGACAGTTATGACGAAACTATAAGGGTTCCTTGTCAGGACTACGGAACCCTAAAAAAATGGGATCCCATGCAAGGTAACATAAAGAATATCTGTGCCCTTATCTTATGTCTATGATCTGTCTCAACTTGGTTTTATTAGTTATCTTAAGCAGCTGTCATCAGACGTCAAATGGTCGGGTAAAATATAAAGATATTCCTTTTGTTACACTATGCCCCTTGTCACACTGTGTCCCTCAGAACATGTATGTACATGTAATGAACATGTAATGTAGTATTTCCACATAATGACATGAGTAAAATTAGCGTTATTTTCAAAAGCACAAAAATCATCGCATTACAAAATTTTATAACATATACGGTGTTATACGGAACTCTTCGTGTTTGAGTCCAACTCGCACTTCAGAAATTTTCATTTATTTTATAGGTAGATAAACGTAGCCGTTTTTTAATAACAGCGAAACAAATTGAATAATTATTAACAAAATATTATTGGCAGTGATTTTGGAACTATACAGTGAATCATACGTGCAGCGTTGTTACGTGCGGTGAAGGTTACTCACCCAGACGGCTCTCCAATTCGAGCGGAAAGTCCGCTATGTCCTACCTCTCTTCGAATACGTAGAATAATGGATTTTGCACACAATCTTTCAATGCCTATTTACTTTCCCTATCGTCGTGACAAAAAGTTGCATATTTATGTCCTTACGCAAAGACCTCTCTATCTTCTTACCAATATTTATCCGAATCGGTTCATAGGTGTGCGCGTGAAGGCGTAACAGATAGACAAAGTACAATTAAGTATATTATGCGCGTTTGCTAATATAGAATATTTCTTAACTGGATGTTTTCATGCATTTTCTACGAATAAAACAAAATCGTCGTTTGCGTTAAACAAAAAAATAAAAGATAGACGATTCAATATAATAAACACTATGTAGAACAAGACCACTTATATATTTAGCAACTAATTTAATATCAGTGCTTACATAATGTTAGTATGTTATTGGAACAGTACTTTCACTGATGTAAAGGTTACTGTACAATTCGTCATTATTGCTCTTATCACTTCGATAGTGTGTGCAAATGCTTACATGTAATTGAGAACATTTTTTGAAATATGTAGATATGAAGGCACGTTTATAGATTTTACCTAACTATCAATTATGATATAATGCGGGAAAGAAAATATTTTTTAGCAGACTAGCGGGTGTGAGTGACTCTGTCTGCGAGAATAAATAAAATTGTTTTCTTATAAGTACCTAGGGTCAAGTTGGATACAGTGTGTTAAGGGGCACAGTGTTTCATTAGGAATGTCTCTGCCCTTATTTGTCTATGTTCTGTCTTGATGTGGTTTTATTGTTTTATTAATGCCGCCATCCTAAGCAGCTGCTTAGGATGGCGGCATTAACATTATAAATGGCCGGGGATAGTACAGCGATATTTATTCCTTTTATTGCACTGACCCCACTATCCTACCTATAAACTTTCATCGCCTTTTGCATGCTAAATTTGTTTTAATTACGTTAAATAAACTTCTACGTTTTTTGTTTTTAATATCTGTGTCCAAAATTTATCAAATCAAACTTACCTCTTATAATGTACTTGCGATCCATTCCGGCTTTGCACGGATGAAATTTAATTTAAAGCGTTAAAATAAAGCAATGACTCATGGATAATGTACCTAGCATTCTAATTCCAAGAGTTTGAGTTAACGCGTTACAAATTTAGAAAAATACTAATCTTCGTATATACTTAGTACTATATATATAGTTATGTCAAAACTTTTTTATTTATTTGTTTGTTCTCTCACATAGCATAACATAACATAATAGTGAAAAGTAAGGTGTACATCAAATTCACAATATAAGTACATACTTAAACTGTGTCAAAAATGACTCGTGGCTTTAATTAATTATATATAAGTCTGAGGTTATGTTAACTTCGCAAATTAACTTGTTAACGAACAACATACACCTTGTTTACTGCGCAAAACAATGTTAATATAAATTAATAACAGAGTTAATCACAACAACTTAAAATATCAGTGCAATTAATTCGGTAGTAAGTAACGAAAAAGGAAGAGTTACAATTATTAATTTGTCTGTCATATAAATTACTTTATTACTGGTTTGGAAAATCTATTATAAAACGACTTTGCTAGAATAATCGAAAAATGAAATAAAAAATGTGTAAATTACTAATTTAATTAATACATTCAGAAATTGATATAAATAAGGAAAATTTGCCAAAGTAATATTTCTTATGTGATAAGATAAACATGGACCGTTTCGTTTCGTACTATAAATTATATGATGTATGCATTTAATATATTATGAAGTAAATTTATTAACCGACTTCAAAATGGAGGATGTTTCTTAGGTTTTCACGCAAATCCCTCGTTAAATATAACAAGTTTCAACGGGTAAGATGCACTGTTTTTATTCATTTATTACGTTTTGCAGCCTTTGCAAGAATGCGTCGTCATAATAATGATTTTTCTGACGAAAAAAACATTATTCTGACGACCATTCTTGCAAAGGCTGCGAAACGTTAATAAATTTGTAACCCGTCGAATCTTGGTTTATTTAAGGAGGAGGTTCTCGATTCAGACGGTATGTTTTTTAAGAAGCACAATTTGCGTTTAAGAAATAACATCATTTATAAAAACATAAGATGCACTTGGCAGATAAGTGCAAAGATGGGTTGTTATGGTGTATAATTATGCACATTATAAAATCCTTGTAACATTTCGATGAAACCTTGAATACATAATGCTATTTTTATAATATTGTTCTGTTGGTAGTTTTATCTTTACTTATTATTTTTGTTGCCCGAATTGTGGAGAATTAAAAAAAATATGCGGTCCTTATAATTTTACACAAAACAATAGCACATTACATTAAATAATAACACTTACTTCTTAACCTTAAAACTTAATTCGATAGCGTAATATCTCTAGCCAGAGCATAATTATTGCAATACAAATAAATAGAAATATATAAATAGACATAACTTACTAAACAAATACTCAAATAGCACCTTACCAAATATCATGACACCACATTGGAATTGCTTGGGTTCAAGATGTCACTCGGGAACAAAGAGACAATTAAAGCAAAAAAGGCGTATCTTTGAAATATTTAAAACCAACTTGCAAATACAAACTTACAAAAGACATTCTGCAGCACTAGAATGTTAAAGATATTTATTTAACGTAACGCAAACGATAATTATTAAAGATCGTATTTCGGCTAAATCAAACCCTTTTTGTATTGGTAAGTATATAATGAAAAGGACATTTTCAATTCTCCGACTTGCTCGATATTTTTTAGCAATCGACGTCGCGGGGTCAAAGTTTCAAAGTCAGATTATTATTTACTTATTGTAATATAAAAATTAGTATATTTATACCAAAGAGATCTATTTGTCATGCTGTCGTGCAAAAACCACCAGTCAACCGTGAAGTAGGACATTGTGTTGTAATCTCAATAATGGTATAATACTTACAACAAAACTTTTACAAGGCCTGCGATATGAAATTGGGTAGAACATTTAGAAATTGTCTATTCACACACCGACAAGTGCTTAGTTTCTAGACAAAGATGATGGCTAAACGATACAATGTAATATAATAAATATAATACGCAACCACAAACGCAACATTTTACTTCCAAATAACCAGGCGCAGTTTTGTTGTTTAACAATATTACTGCAAAAAAAGCAATGTTGAATGTTTTAACAAAAACGAAGACGACGCAACGGCAGTGCTTCCTGCTTATAATTCTTTAATTAGTTAAAATCGAGTCTGACACTATATCTGTATGTAAATTTTAATTAAATGTCTAAATAAAACTATTTTCTGTTGAACACGGCCACTAATTTTGTTCAGTCTACGTAGGTATGAAAACACAATTTAAATGAAATTGCAAATAACTAAGTATTATATATTACGAAACTAGAAATATTCCACAAAAGATTAAAACCATGATAACTACGTTCTTAAAATATATTCACAATAAACTCCCTAAATTACCTACAAGAATATGATTGTTGATAACGTTGATTTTAAGTTTTAATTAATTTATTTTTACGTTTATTGAAGTTAGGACGTAAGTGTAATTAACATCATTATTAAAATCCTGGGTGTGCAATGCTATTGACGGTATATCGTTAAAACCGTGTTTCAAATGGTACAATGGTACTGATTATGACACAGTCCTTGTTACTAAAACTAAAAAATGCATAAAGATAACAATAACAAATGATTAAGTAAATGTATTTGCAATTTTGTGTTTTAGTAACAACTAGCGGCCGCCTGCGACTTCATCCGCGTTATCTTCAAGAACCTAAATTTTTTCCGGTATAAGAAGTATCCTATGGAATAAAACAAGTTTCAACGGTATAGATGCGCTGATTTATTTATTTATTGACGTTTCGCATCCTTTCAAGATGCGGCAACGCATCCTGAAAAAGATACAAAACTACGTTGATACTTGTTTTATGTTCACGTTGTGCGTGAAAACCTAAGAAACAAATAAGTACCTATCCTATGTCTAAATCCAGGCCATAAACTATATGCGTACCAAATTTCATCCAAATACGTTCAGTAGTTTTTGCGTGACTGAGTAAGAAACATACAAACTTTTACATTTATATTATTACTAAGAAGTAAATAAAGATTACTGTGTCAAAAATCAAAACTACTGAAACGCCATTGTTGCACGATTACTACTTTAACGTAGCAGAATCGTCAGCTACTGGCACTACTGATAAGAAGAACTTTCTATTGCGTAGGGCGTAGGCAAGTGTGTACTTTGATGACCGTGGTTCAAAAATATTATTATTAACTGTGCAATTATCAAACCGTCGTACGTGTAGTTCAAATCTATTAATGTAACAATTGAACTTATATAATATTGCAGCGTTCTAAACTTCCTTTTGCGTAGGCAAATGCGTACTCGCTGATAACTGAAATCTAAAACATTATTGAAAAGTAGCGCGAGTATGTAGGTACTACTAAAACTACAATACATTGATTCAAATATAATAAATACGTAAGTATTATGCGTGGGTACGTATTATTTATTTATTATTTTTTGTGTCGTCGAGTATATATATTGGTAATAAAATGTCAAAAGTTAGAACAGCATATTTATATGGTATCTGCCTAGTTAATTAAATTTAATGGGAGAGGTGTGTCGTTGACCTTAAAATGCTACTTTGAGAGATACATAAGAGTTTTGACATTCAGCGAATTTCCTTAGAAACTCCTGTGTTGTTGTCTTCTTGTTAATATACAAAAACTTTTGTGTTCTAGGTGTTGTACATATTATCCAAAGTTTTGATGATTTTAATCAAGAGGGTCCCCAAGGAGACGCGGGGGGTTGGTTACTTTAAATTTAGCTAAATTTAAAGCAACCAAAGTCCTTAGCCCACTCATTTGACTAGCATGCCTGACCAAATATCTTGCTTCCTGCAAACTCGAATGAATTCACTAGGTGATTCCAATCCCAACTGAGTTAGTGTAAAGCTGCATGTACCCAAAATTCATACTTTTACACCCCCTCAGACCACCGACTTGATTTCAGTGTAATATCTAGCAAATCAAAGATTCGTTTGATATCAAATAGTTGGTTATCGTTACATTTTCCGTTACACTTAACGAAGTCGAGCATATTTTAACTCGCAGTCGAATCACGTGTATATCCATGTAGGTCCTGAGCACATAATGCGGACGGCTACGGCAAATTTTTTCATTGAAGCAATAAACCGGCATGCGCTACACTCAATTGGAAGATTGCTCGCCGTGTGGGAAGCGACAATGCTTGCCCTGAGTACGAGGATATCCTTCCAGAATATAACAGGACCGGCGATAAATCAAACATTAGGAAACTACTACAACGCCAATGTGAGATGGATAGAAAGAAAATCCCTAAGTGAAATGTATTTATCATTAATAATAAATTTTATTTTCAATATATATATTTTAAGTTAAATAAAGAACAAATAGTAACATATTTATAACTAAAACCTTAAAATATATAATAACTAAAATACATTATTAAAAGGAGTCCCTTTAAGCAAGGTTCCAAAGATACTGGCAGCGTTCCCCCTTTGAATAGCTAGACTAATTCTTTGTCCGAGGTTGCTGCCCGCTCTTCGGTCTCCTGTGATGTCGAACAACCTTTTTGCTATTTTCTTAAAAAGCCTTACAGCGCTAGGACCCTACGGATCGAGGGTCTGGACACCGAATGGGACAAAATCATATTCGGAGCCTAGACCCCTGTATTTGCATGCCTTAGCTTTTTCAGCCGCTTCGCCAGCCGCACCAGCTTTTATTTGTCCTAGATTTCGATTATTGCGCACTAGCGCCGCCCGCGACTTCGTCCCAGTACGCTTCTGTATTTTGAGAATCTCACAGGAACTTAACGTTTTTCTGGGATAAGAAGTATCCTATGTCTCAATCCTGGTCATAAACTATATGCGTACAAAATATCATCCAAATCCGTTAAATACTTTTTCAGTCATTGCGTAACAAACATACAAAAATTTACATTTATAATATTAGTACATAGAGACAAAACAAATCATAAAACAGAATATACTAGGACATAAAACAGGATTTCATAGGATCAAAGTACCACTCGTGATGTACACAATATTTTAGCGATATATGCGATGTAAAAACGAAAAACGAAAAAAAAATGACAATTATTATATTAGATAATTTTAAATTTGTTAATTAGGTTAACAATCTTTAGAGAAAAATATTAATTCCAAATAATTACATAAGTATAGCTACCTACTTACAAGTAAAAAATAAAGTCCTGAAATCCAAAGTCATGATCGCAAAACTAATAATGGAACATTATATATAATCAGCGGCGAAGATCTGCGCGGCCTAAGGAGGCAATGGCCGAACAAACAGGATGATTGCATTGGCATAACAACTCCTTTCAACTATACGTAGGTACATTGCTGATAAATCAATAGTTACTCACACTGCCTGCACTTCTCTGGAAGGAACCCGTTTCGCGATATTACCGGTCGATATTTTTTATTAACTTTTTGTACGTGAGTCAGCTTTGAGAGGGTTGACTGGTCGCAAAATGTTTTTGTTACATCACGTTATTCCTTTTTTGATGAGTCAGTAAATTGTCAGATTTATATTTCTCTTTCTCGTGGAAGGACTAAACTTGTATAGGTAGAACACCGAATTAAAATCCAACATCAAAAAGATGGTCTTCCAAATTTTAATGTGATAAGAGAGATCTTAAAAATGCTAGGAAACTTTATCTGAATCGGAAAATCTATTGACTAAGTTTGTAAATTTTCAATTTAATGTAAAACAAATACACAAAAAAAATCAATAATATACCTACCTACAATAAGTATGAAATGTTATAAGTAACAACCCTGACTCAGAAGATGTGAAAATAAACCCAAAAAGGACATCCTATTATGTGGAAAACAGGTTGTGTGGTTGTATGTAATAAACAAGTGACCATCGGGACCAAGTTACGAAACCGGACTCATTACGCGCAACGCAACTCTCGAAACGAAATAAAAAATAAAACAGAATTTCCAATTCAGTCTGTTTGCAAAAAGAACAAGCAGGGAGAGGACGGTGCACTTTATCTTTACACGAAATCCGTGGCACTAATAAAACTCGACTTACGTTGTTCGTTTAGTGAATCATTCATACAATGACATGGTGTGTTGCATTCTAGTCGACAATTCAATTCAATGAGGCAATTAAAATTCACATAATGTTTGCGCCTACGTCTGGCCAAACCATCCATATTTCTATCGCACGTTTCGCATCCTGCTTGTCTGCACTCAGAATAGGAAATGTCCGTCATCCAGATGAACATGTGAAAAAATACAAGAGAGCAAAATAATTGATGAAAATGGATACTGCAGTATTAATAGAAGACAACTTGTCTTCGTTATTTTTAAACGACTATATCCTACGGAGGCTGTTATCTATTTAAAGAGTGGCGCCAGACCGCATTCCAGCAGGACTAGGGATATCACCTTAATATCCTACCTTTAACCAGGTTTCTTTATAAATAGAAACGGTAGGGGTACTCGACCCGTCTAGTCTAGCTAATGGAAAATAGACGAGTTGGTTCATGATGCATTAACTTTTTCTCACGTTTGTGCATACATAACTAGTTTCATCGTAATAGCAATACCAAACAAGTGTGTAAACTAACCGTCTCCCGCTGTTTAAAGATAGCTATAAAGAACAATCATTATTTTTATATCTGTTTTGCAATCTAGCCATCTTAAACTCCAGCATACTATAATATTATTGTAATAAAAAGACATATTATGTCTATTTAAAAAGACAAATTTTCACATGCATAACCCAGCAACATCCTATTTAGCAACTGGAATATAGGTACTCGTTCCCCGCTGTATCAGACCCTTGGATGATTCAATCTTAATTGGAAAATTGCTGTGGAACGTCGAATCCGGTCGACGCGTAACATTGGCCTTACCACACTCACGATTCTTAGACGTGCTCTTAGATCTACAATCATGTTGTAGTTATTATCATGTCAAACCACTAACAACATATTTTCTTCTTTTGCAGGATGAAGGTCGTATTATTGTGCTTGGCCTTTGCGGCCGCGAGTCTAGCGATGCCAGTAGCTGAGCAAAAGCCAGCTCTTAGTGAACTACCAGCCCCGGTAGCTGAAATCAAAGCTGAGGCACCTAAACAAGAATCACCCGCAGCAGTTCCAGCGCCTATTGAAGAAAAAAATGTAGAATCGGTACCTGAAGTCCAAGTGGCAGAGAAAGCTCTTGAACCAGAAGTTAAAAGTGCACCAGTAGATGTTAAAGTACCCGAAGCTCCTAAAGTTGAAGCTGTACCCGAAGAAAAGAAAGAAGAAACACAACAACTTAAAGCAGCTGAACCAGTGAAACCTGCAGATGAGAAATCTGAATCTAATCTGCCAGAGAAACCGAAAGTTGAAGAAAAGAGTGCAACCCCAGAGATAAAGCCAGAAGAAAAACCAGTCGAATTTCCAGCTAAAATAGAAGAGGTTCCTAACGAAGTGCCCTCTGCGAAGTCAGTGCCTGAAGAATCCATTGATGTTGTGAATGCTGTCAAGTCACCAGCCGCCGTTGCTGATGATGTCGTCGATCCTGCTGCTATCATTCCTACACCAGAAAAGAAAATTGACTTACCTGTAGCCAAGAGTGCTGAACCCATACCTGAAATAAAAAAGGAAGAACCCACCGCCGTACCTGCTAAGCCCGAAGAAGCCAAGCCTGCTGAAGTAAAATCTGAGGAAAAGCCTGTAGAAGAGCCCGTCAAGCCCGTTCAGCCTAATGCAGCTAAGCCCGTTGAATCTGCTCCTTCTGCCAAGTCTGCCGAGCCTACAATTGACGACAGCCTTCGCGTGGTTCGTGACACAGTCGACGACAAAGCTAAAGCGGCCGCTTTAGCTGCAGCTGATAATAAGAAAGTAGAGCCAGCGGCCCCAAAAGTAGAAAAAGCCCCCAAAGAAGTCGCAGCTGAAAAGAAGGAAGGAAAAGCTAGTGAAAGTGCAGTAACGAACGAAACTCCCAAAGAAAGCGAAGCCAAATCAATTGCACCAGTCGCGGAAGCCCTCCCTACGCCTGTTGAAGCGTCGCAGCCTAATAAACCAGTCGACTCACCGAAGGCAGCGGAAGCAAAACCCGCGGAGGCTAAGGAGAAGCCCTCTGGCGACGCTCCGGCCGCTAGTTCCGAAGAGAGTGTAGAGGATGAGAAGAAAGATGACAGTTCAGAGAAAGATTCGTCAGAAGAAAGCGTTGAGAAAACCGACAAGGAGCCCGTTTCCAAATCCTAAATTAGTTTGAAGAGGCGCTTGCGGCGGGCGTGTGTCGACGGCCCTCGACACGCGCCCCCCGCCCCGGACGCCATGGGGCCTCCGCGCGCTGTGACGAATGAAATGTGATGCATGCATGCATGTACATGTTTGTGACTGTGTGAACGAACGCCATGCGCCGAGCGTGGACATTCCCGTCTATTCATTAGAAGACCTAGAGACTTATTTAAATAGCCGAAACAAAAATTACCTGCGTTGTAATTATTATTTCTCAAAAGTAAATTATCGAATTTCCGGTAGGTACTATAAGTAAGAATAATAAAATATGTTTTTTATAATACAAAGAGGTTCTTATTTTATTCCGATCCAGCCATATTATAATAGAAAGATAGAAAGCTTGTTTTAATAGCAACACAATGAATATCATATATTATATCCGTTTACACAATATTTAGGTATCTTGCTAAAGTGTCAACCAAGAAAAAAATCTTTTTTTTCCATGTAATTAAAATAATGAATATAAAATACTTTGGAAAAACCTATGTCGGACACAATACATTATTGCCATTTTCTAAAGAGACATTTAAATCTACATATATAAAACTTAAAGGTGACTGACTGACATAGTGATCTATCAACGCACAGCCCAAACCACTGGACGGATCGGTCTGAAAGGAGATTGCTCAACATCCATACATGTTTGGCCTAAAGACCAATAATCATGAAAAATTGATTCTTAGATTCGAAATTATATATAAATTACTGTAGAAACGAATATTATTGACGGACACCCCTGAGAACTTCTATAAACCATATACACTGAACATATTAAAATAATAAAAAACAAAAAAGTTATATAGTAAACTAGGGTAATCAAGCCAAGTACCGAAATTATGGATTAGATTCAGGTATATAGAGCATGTATATTAACAGATAGTTGCCTGTTTTTAAAGTTACTGCATAAGAGTAACTTTTAAAATCAGGTGCCACTTCCGGTTATAATAAGGTACTCTGTGACTGAAACTATGTGATGATTGTGAATGAGCCACAGATTAGAGAGAATTTTTAAACTCTCGTTAACCAAAGAAAGCTTAGAGGTTCTATAGCCATATATTCAGTAGCTTCATTATTTTTGTTATGTTTTTAAGATAACCATATTTTAGATTTTTAGTGTATCACACCTTATAATTTTATTTATTTGATTAATTTATAGTCAGGGAACGTAGGCCCATAGATACCTTAAAGTCTAACATATATACAGATTATAATGTGTTTATGGAGGTGTCTGGCGAAAAATGTATGGTAATAGACTTTATGATGTCGCCTACCCTCTATAATAATTGTCTGAGCACATTTGCATCTAGTGAAAATGATAATATAGTTGTGGATATTAATACCACAGTATAATAAAAAAATGATTTATTTTATCGATCTTTACAAAATAGATTTGTTTTCATGTTATATAAACAAGTTCGATCAGTCTTTGGCTAAATGTTACTACACCCATAGCCATTAAAAATGATTCGTATGTTTTCCAAACCGGTAAAATTAAAAGTCATTTTTAAAGTAAATATATTATACAAAAGTGTTCCTTGAAATCTAATGACTGTAAATCTTTACATATATAATTCTTCTGTGAGTGTGTATGTCACTGAACTTCTTTTAAACGACTGGACCGATTTTGATGAAATATTTTGTGTGTATTCAAGGGGATCTGAGAATGGTTTAGATTCACAATTTTGTCCGCTGGACAACCCCTATTTTTTTAGGGCGGTACGAAGTTCTTTGGGTCAGCTAGTTAAATTATAAATTACGCCAAGAATTACCGTGTATGTCAATATTTTTTGTGCATTTGGGCCAATTTGAGCAATCTCCTTTGGCATGCAGGTAGATGTTATGACGTAGGCATCCGCTAAGAAAAGATTTTGATCAATTCTACCCCCCCAGGGGTAATAGGGAATGAAAGTTTGTATGAAACTTTGTCAATTTTAAACCGATCGGGCTGAGACTTTGCATGCAGCTATAAGGTGGCTATAAGAAGAATCATAGATGAATGTCATTGTGTATAATATAACAAAAACTGTAGTCTACACTTCAGCTCTACACCGAAGCGAAGCGAGGGCGGGCCGCTAGTAAATAATAAAATACGTTAGAAAGACAATTCTTTCGCGTACACAGAATTACAATAATGAAAACGTTTTAGATATAATGGGTTTCCAAATCATAAAATGTACTATATAATATAAAATTCCATCTAAAGGCTACAAATAGGGCTCTTACTGTAGTTTCTCGACCCAAGTAATGCCGTTTAATTAATAATGCCAAATATGGCGTAGAGGTGTAACTGTAAATGAAATAGTGGAGGACATAACCACAATATAAACCCGCCGCCGCCTTATGTATTTTTAAATAACGGTAATAACCTTACAGAAGAAAACAGTAAATTTGTTTGATAATGGACAATGGCGTGTTCCTGTGAGTAAGGAATCCACGGGATGGGGTTTGTTTGATTAGCTTCAGGTTGGCAAGGTGTGGTTGTCTGGAACGGAACATCAGCTAGCTATCTTCCTCCATCATGATAGGGTGGAAAATATTGGATTAAAGGAGTGGGATAATGAAGGAGCTTGAGAGTGCCCAGTACAAAAAATATTTAATATAAGAATGTGCACAATTTAAGGCTGATGACAAACAAACATCAAGAGCAAACTATCTGTCCGAAGTACCTGAAAATTAGATCGACCACGCTTATGAAGTAACCACATCCAGAGCGCATCACTCGACTCGATTTTTAGAGCAATGTTTTAGAATGAAAGATATTACAAAATGGGTAAGGCGTTATTATCGTAAGGGGTAAGGATTCTGTGGAGTAGATCTTTGCAAAATTTCTCGTTCTAGAGAAAGTTGTTGATAGCGGCAAACTTCTACCCCCTCATTAATAAACAAAGAATAAACTTGGATTAGTTACTCCATGTTTTGTCTCTGTTCATCGAATGACAATGGCTTTTGAGTGATATGAATGAATGAATGAATGAATGATTTATTTATTTCTCACACAAAGTCACAAAGTAACATTATAATTACAAAAGGGTATTGAATTACAGTAACGGTAAAACATTGCAGTTCTTTGAGAGAGCTGGAGATTGTACTAGGTTACAAAACCTGTGTTACGACCCCTAGGCTCAAAACCTCTTAAATCCCGTTTGCTTGCTAATAGATTCTTTTGCATAATACATTTTTTATTGTGATCTACCCTAGATTATAAGCGAGAGTACAATATGTAAATGTTACATTGAATGTTACAGAACCATATTGAATTAATAACAAAAAGCAAAAGAAAGAAAAAAAACAAGATCGTTACCGCCATTTATCAGGAAATGCGGGTTCACCGGATAACGCTTAAATTTCTATTTATATTTAAAAACAAGCAAGTGTGTGTTGTGTTTGTGCGTGTGTGTGTGTGTGTGTGTCTGTGTCTGTGTGTGTGTGTTTGTGTGTGTGTGTGTGTGTGTGTTTGTGTGTGCATGCGCGTGTGTATTTATCTAGTATGAGAAAAACAGCCTACCTTATATTATACAATAATAAAATAGTGATTGTAACCGTATGTAACACTTAGTTTGCAAATAAAGAGTTTGAGTTTGAGTTTATAATTACCTATTTTACGAATTAAATAGCAGTTTTTAATAATTTTTCTGTTGTGTCATAATCTAGTTTAAGTAGCCAATTTGAGACTACTCTCTTCATTTTAGACATCTGCATTTGGTGGATTTTGAGAATTTTGTTAATTTTATTGTACAGATAGCAATGAAGGAAAAAATAATTTCGCTTGGCAAAGCTAGTGCTAGTGCGTACTAAAGGACAGACTTGATGTTTTCGTCGCGTATCAGAGATATCTGTTCGGTACGGCGTATGTCGATGCGTTGTTTCAATAAGTTTTAATACGAACAGTTGGCGTATTGAAAGGACCTGGCTGACCTACGCCGCGGTAACAGCTCGCCGACCGCTGGTTAACGGCTAGGCGGCACCAGTTTCATCAGTTATAGAGAAATTAACCACTACGTTTTAAGAATCGGTACTTCCTAACCACTTAAACTACTTAAACCTGGTTCCTTTCTCTTTGGACATCACATTTGTCAACGCAGGCCGCGGGAGGGGCGTGAACGAAAAAATCATATAGCCTAAGCTACGGATATATATAAGCTAGGCTACGAATAGACGTAAGCTGGTGTCCTTTTCCCGAGGCGACGCGATTACGTTACGATTCCGTTTACTGTATGTTGCATTGGGGAGTTTCATACAAGGAATAATGAACGGCTCTAATTGATTGACGATTCTTTTCCGAGTTGATATGTCTGCTACGACTATTACAGGAAACCTTACCTCATTGGTGAGCATGCGACACGCGATCACTCCCAGCGACCACCAGTCGACCGCGTGGCCGTACGGTTCCCGGCTCAGCACCTCTGGAGCTGTCAACAATCAAGCGAACCATGTCAATCAGCATATCAATCAGGCACTACAGTAAACTATAAAAATATCAAAGATAGAAATTGGCACTGAAAAATGCTGGCGATCGATATTTTTTCTTAGTTTGTAGGTTTAGAAGAAAATAATACCAAAGCTGTATGCTCTCTAGTATCATAATGTTAAGACAATATCGTGTCAACATCACGGCATTCTAAAATTGAAAAATAAATTCTACGTATCGAAAAAAGTTATGTGCACAGTACCCCAAGCACGATGTTTTACAGAGCCGCATTCGTATCACCATCTTAAGTTTCTATGGAAAAAGCCAGTTTGTTCATACGCCCGGTAGGGGCGCTGCTTAGTTTCCATAGAATATTTGACTATGCGATACGATTATCTGTCAAAATTTGTTCTTGGAATACGGGTACATTCGCATTTATTGTGATTGCTTATCATCACTCGTTCACACGTGATTCGGCAGTAAAAAAATTATATTGCACACACACACACACCAAGGATAACTAAACTAACCCCAAAGTAAGCATTGTGTGTCAGGCTAGTGCTGTGCTATACTAGGGTTTATAA